ATACTCTAAAATGGTATACAGTAATTTACTGTGCACAAACACTGTAAATAACTGTGGATTTCACAGCCATTTTTTACAGTGTGTGATGAGCTGCGATAGTTAAAGTGGACCTATCATGCTATATTTCAATAATATAGTGTAGGACCATACCTATATAAGGCATATTTATACTTTTTATTTTTCAAAATACCAAACAGATCATGCATTTTAGCCATTCCTCATTTCGCTCAAAGTAACACTGTCTTTGCATGGGCTGATTCTGTGAGAACAGCACCATCTACAGGCCTGGCATATGTACTACAGCGTCTCCAGCGCTTTCGAACGGCAATGTCCGTGGCAGTCTCCTCCTGATTGGTGGAGTTGGCCCAATAGCCGTAGCGCCACTTCTGTGACGTCATAGAAGTGTTCAAATCTGGATCAGTCTGTATCAGATCCGTTGCAGCCCCTTTTTAAGAGATTTGGGTATGGAGGAAAATAGAGAGGGTTGTGTTTTCTGACACTTGGTGAGTTCCATGGAACACCTGGGACACATATTCATGTATAAAAGATGTACAAAAGTGCATTTTGCATGATAGGTCACCTTTAATATATAAACACTTCCACATAAAATGTAACAAAATTGTGTTTGGGAAGTAGTAGTCGAGCATACCAATAGATACATGTAGCCTGAATAATATCGAAGTTGTTTGTAAATGTTTTGCTGTTGTCAAACATGGCCGCCATTTACTTAAATTCTTCAATTTTTTTCTCAGTTTTTATATTTGACGTTTGCAGTGAAGGTATGCATGTAAAACAGTTTTCTTCACAAATTCAAGTTAAGTCGAGCAATATATTCAAATAATTATTTTGGGGGCTAACTGTCTTTTTAAAGACTCAGTAAAGTCAAATGCGTGTCGCCCCGATGCCTACCGTGGGCCGAGCCGTCCATGCTGCAGCTGCAGTTCAGCAGGTCGTGTGTCAGACAGAGTGTGTCTGTCAGGCTAAACAGATCTCGCAGTTCACTGGTGGAGAAGCTGGTGTGCTCCGCCTTTTTGCCCAGGTCCACCACTGTCCCAGAGAGCCCTTGTTTGGCCACCTGTCTCTGGAATATACGCTCCTCAATAGTGCCTGAAGGGAAATAACACACACCCAGACATAAAGCTGGAGTCTGGATCATGATATACCGAGCAGTCTGGCTGATTGTGTGTGCATGTGAGTTTTCTGACCTGCAGTGAGGAGACGATAAATGTGCACAGTCTTCTTCTGACCATCTCTCCACACCCGAGCCATGGCCTTGACACAGAAGAGAGGGAAAAGTTCGGGGAAGAAAACACACAAATGTTCACAGCACCATCTGGTGGATATGTATGTATATATAAGTGATGGAAGTCTGATGGAAGGGCCAGAGTGAAACAGGGTTCAATTGACAGTTTTCACACCAGCCTAAACTCAAAAAAAGCTCTAAAGCCACTATTTGGTTGACCCGATCCAGAGAGGTCAGGTGTGAAGGTCCCCAAAATATGTGCGTAAGACAGAGGAGACCAAAAACCAAGAAAGCAGTGTTAAAGACTTTCACCTTTCAAGTTAAATTCAAGGCTTTATTGTCATCGGTACATTAGCTACAGTGTAGATATGGCAATGAAAAACTTAGGTCACAGGCTCCTCCAACAGTGCAACATATACATAGGACATGGAACAAATACAACTGATAAAATAGTGCAAGAGAATGTTTGGAGATGTGCAAGTACATACAAATAAAATAGAAATAGTGCAAGAAGAGTCTATATACAAGTAAATTCTAAGCATGTCTCAGTGTGTGTTTTACCTGCATGTCATTGGCAGGGTTCCAGTCGATGTCATACAGCACCAGGTGGGAAGCCCCGATCAGATTAAGCCCCACCCCGCCTGCTTTGGAGCTCAGCAGAAACAGGAAGTTCAGAGAGTAAGGACTGTTAAACCCGTCGACCAGCCGCTGCCTCTGGCCGGTGGGGGTGTGTCCGTCCAGTCGGCAGAAGGTGTAGCTCATGTGAACACATAAGTCCTGCAGCATGTCAAGTGTCTTAGTATAGTTGGACACTACGACCACCCTGCAGGGGCACACACACTGTCAGTATATATGGACAAAAGTACACACTTACAAATGCAAACACCCACACACACACCTGTCTGTAGGGTTGAGTTGTCTGATGACGCTCAGTAAGTCCGACAGCACCAGAAGTTTTCCAGAGTCAGCCGTGTTGAGTCCACCTGAAGAGTAGGATTCTGGGAAGAGCTCAGCCAGGCCGTCGTATAAAGTGTTCTCCACTGAACCACTCTCTTGTTTTTCCTGAGAAATATAACACAGTACTTACAGTTAAGACTGGGGGGGGAAATCTCTTGACACTAAGACATAAATGCAAACTGCTTTGAACACAGTTGGTGCTGTCCAATCAGATCAATGTCTTAAGTGGCTGGATGAATATTTAATAAAAACAATTGTAATAATAATGAAAAGATAATTTATAAAGCCCAAGTAATAACATAAACTGCAGCTCAAACAGCTTTACGAGATAATCTAAGTTAGAAACACAGGTACTAAAATCAACACAACATACAAAAACCATAAAACATGTATGAGAAATATAAAGAAGTTAAGTAATGAAAACAAGGACGATATAAAAAGGTTAGATCATAAAGATCCATGTGGAGCTTTTTTGAAAAGCGATCAACTCGTCTCATTAGTGATGGGTGTGGTTTCCCTCCCCTTCCTAGCAGCAGAGAGCGTTACCTTCACGGTGGAGTGCAGCAGCCCGGGGTGGTTGCAGAGCTTCTTCAGGGCGGTGATGCAGGCCAGGTGAGTGTGAGTCTGCGTGGAGCCCTGGAGGCAGGCTCTGAAGACTCTGTGGCCGAGGAGCTGCTGGTACAGGTCCCGCTGCAGAGGGGAAGGCTCGCAGAACAACGTCCAGTCCAGACGAGGAGGCAGGTAGCAGTTGATGATCTCCTGCGTCCGTCTCAGGATGAACATCCCGGTCAGACGAGAGAGCTCCGCCGCTCGCTCTTCCCCCAAAACCCTCTCCTCCTGACGGCAGAGATTCAATTCAATCAGGTTTATTGCCAGATAACGTTTTTCTTTATACACTCACTCAAATGTTTGGAATTGCCACAAGCTTGATCAGGTAAAGTTTGCTGGCTGAGAGTTATATCCTTATTTTTATGAATGATGTTTCAGGTTTTTAAAGTATAAAAAGTCTTCTTTAAAAATAAATGTGACTTTGCATGAAGCAATGTGTGCAGTTTTAAAATCGGCACATGTTCCTTAATCGGTGTTAAGTGCACAATTAATTGAGCAATAATATAGATGTATATTATATAGTAACTCTTGGGTTTCCAAAGTTGAAATTGGATAAGGGACATTTACTTAACAGGCTTTGGACTTAAAATGTAGTTTACAAAAAGGTTTTTTAATATAACCACTGAGTTGAATGCATAAAAGCCAAAGAAAAAATTGGGTCCACAGTTCACGCAACGTTTAGAGCGCAATTGTCCCGTTGCAGTTATATAAAGATCGAGGGTCAATTACATTTTTCTGGGCTGGAAAACAGATAAAAAATCTGTTGTGACAGGGACATCGACTAAATGGAAGTAATGAAATGCTTCTTTTTTGGGTGGCACAAAACATAGATTTGGTCCCTAAATTAAACCGTTTTAGGCTCTGGAAGAATAGCTATTGTAGAGAGAAGGAAAAACACATGAATACAATAGTTGATTCCCAAATGTGCATTGGCAGTGTATGTACTGTATATATGCAGTGTATGTACTGTATATATGCAGCAGTGTATGTACTGTATATATGCAGTGTATGTACTGTATATATGCAGCAGTGTATGTACTGTATATATGCAGTGTATGTACTGTATATATGCAGTGTATGTACTGTATATATGCAGTGTATGTACTGTATATATGCAGTGTATGTACTGTATATATGCAGTGTATGTACTGTATATATGCAGTGTATGTACTGTATATATGCAGTGTATGTACTGTATATATGCAGTGTATGTACTGTATATATGCAGTGTATGTACTGTATATATGCAGTGTATGTACTGTATATATGCAGTGTACGTACTGTATATATGCAGTGTATGTACTGTATATATGCAGCAGTGTATGTACTGTATATATGCAGTGGCCATATCGAAATAAAAAAACTAAAAAGGTCAGAGGTTGTATTACCTCAGCACAGCCGGGCTGTCTGGAGCGTAGAATGGGCTCCTCGTAAACCTTCCTATACCCAGTGGACGACCCGAGGATGCCCGGGTTAACAAACTCTATAATCGCATAAAACTCCTGCAGGTCGTTCTGAACCGGGGTGCCTGCAAAACACAAACACACTTTTAGACAGTTTTCCTCCAGCTTCCTCTGTCAGGAGCTCGGTATCTCAGCGACGGTGAGTACCTGTCAGTATGACTCTGCGACTACAGCTCAGGCTGCTGATGGCTGAAGACGTCTTGATGCTGCTGTTCTTTAATCTGTGGCCTTCGTCACAAATCACAAGACCGAACTCCACTTTCTGTACCTGTAATCATGAGAACACCATACATTAATATAACAAAAGACAATAAAGGCTAATTGAATTGTAGAATGCACACTTGCCAGACAAGGTGAACGTACCTGGTCCAGGCAGCGCAGCAGCATTTCATAGCTGATTACAAGAACGCTGTGCAGAGGAGATAACACAAACTTCTCGATCCTGTTGTCCTGTGCGTATGTCAACAAAGGATGAATAATATTAATGATTTCATATATGCTAGATTAAGGAAAAAGAGGTGATTCAGAAAAAAGGCCAACAGACCAGGAGAAGTCATAGATCACCGTAAATTCAATATCAATTAGACGCAGAATTCAACAAGAGCACAGAGGTACCAAATACACAATAAACTATTTAAATGGCCGGTTTAAAAAATATATTATGCATCACTTTAAATAACTGTAGTTTTGATAGCTTTCACTGTTACTCATTATGTTGTTTTGTTACATGTCAGATGCTGAAATCTCTTAAAACACACAACATGTAATTTCGGACAATAGAGGTCTCTCTCTAGTTCATCGAATAAATAATCCCCCCCCCCCTCTCCTCACCTGATCCACAGTGAAAACGTTGATCCGCTCTCGGCCCAGCCACTTGTTAAACTCCGCCCCCCAGTTGTGTACTAGGCTGCCAGGAGTGACCACGAGGACACGCTTAGCAACCGGTTTCCCCCCGTATGGGCCTTGTTTAAGCAGCGTCCAGGCCAGCGCCACGCTCTGGAGGGTCTTCCCCAGACCCATCTCGTCAGCCAGGATAGCCCCGTAGCGCCCCACAGCTCTACACAATGAAACACATGAATATCATCTGCTGATGAGACGAACTACAGAAGATAAGTGGTTCAAGAACGGCTCCATTACCTCAAGCCCATGACACACTCATAGAGGAAGAGCAGGCCGTCCCTCTGGTGGGGGCGCAGTTGGGTCGTCAGGTAAGGGTCAATAACAACGTCCACCACAGGAAGCCCCGCCTTGTTGTTAGACCACTGGTGGTTAGCGGAGGGACGAGGCATCACCAGAGCGCCTGAGAAAGATCCAGTGTTCTGAGTATGTTTCCACATAATGCACACTAGAGGCAATATAACAAGATGATTTCTTTATTGTTCAAATTAACAATTCTAAATGAACTGTAAAGTTAAAGATATATTGACAATTGTACTAGTATTTCTATTTTATACATCTTTATTTTTGATCTGTTTTAATTGTTAGTGTAATAAGCACCAGGAAATGTTTGGTTGATTGTGATGTGTGTATCTGCCCAGGGACTGCAGGTGGAAATGAGGTTTAAACTGTAACCTGGCATATAGCATCTCTTCTCTCTTTGAGATTTATAATAAATGTAATTTATATAGCGCTTCTCATCTGCCAAGACAAATCTCGGAGCACTTCACAGCAAAGGACACTGATACAATTTGAAAGATTAAAAAAATAATAAGAAGAAAAAGTTTTAAAGTCAGAAATAGCGATAAAAATGGCGATACTCCAGGTGTACCATGCTCAAAGTTTATTGGAAGGCCTGCCGAAAGAAGAGGGTCTTAAGGCCGGTGTTTTAACATTTATGTATTTTTTTGCATGGTCCCTGTTCAATAAATATATATAAACAAATAATGTAAAATGATCTTGTTTTCACAGTCCATAAACTGATTGTTCAACACAAGAGAACATATATTTTGAGAAACAAAGTAATGCATGAATGAGTATAGTGCTATTGAGTATAAGTTTAGATTTTATAAAACCTAATGATATACTATTCCTCCATTGATCCCTATTAAGACTGTAAAACCCATGCACAAAGCATGAGTTCAGCTTCTGAATAACTTACATACTGCTCTTATATTCCTTGGCCATCCAGGCCTTTTATTTCCCGGTAAAACCCTAACTGGCGTTCTTGGAAATCATGTTTACTAACAATCCTGACATATCATAAAGAAGTATTATCATTACTACACACCTGCAGCCAGCGGGTCATGGCGGGGTTTGCAGGTTTGTTCCTTCTCTGGGTTGGACCCTGGATGATCTGCTCTGCCTGACAGCATTGGGGAGCAGAAAGCTTTGGACCCCGAGCCACGAGAGGGAGGTGGAGCCTTCTTTGATACTGGCTCCTCTACCTGCACCTCTTGGAAACAACGTCCCCTGGCAAAGTCCTCAGCTGAGATGATCCCCATCACCTCCACCTCCTTCCCTCCGATCATCAGGGTCTCTCCATCAGAGAGGGAGGCCAGCGTAGACACCTTGTAGCCGCTACCTACACACAAACATGCACAGGCATACACAATGAACATATGACAGTGTGTATTGGGAAAAAAATGAATTTTAAAATGTTCAGTAAATCTACTTAAAATTGTACATCTTCCTTTCATTGTCCCCAAGTGACCACAAAATGTATGTATGTATGTAAAAGTATTTAGTCAGTCACCAATTGTGCAAGTTCTCCCACTTAAAAAGACGAGAGGCCTGTAATTTTCATCGTATGTATACCTCAACTATGAGAGACAGAATGAGAAAAAAAAAAATCCAGAAAATCACATTGTCTGATTTTTAAATAATTTATTTGCAAATTATGGTGGAAAATAAGTATTTGGTCACCTACAAACAAACAAGATTTCTGGCTCTCACAGACCTGTAACTTCTTCTTTAAGAGCCTCCTCTGTCCTCCACTTGTTAACTGTATTAATGGCAACTGTTTGAACTCGTTATCAGTATAAAAGACACCTGTCCACAACCTCAAACAGTCACACTCCAAACTCCACTATGGCCAAGACCAAAGAGCTGTCAAAGGACACCAGAAACAAAGTTGTAGACCTGCACCAGGCTGGGAAGACTGAATCTGCAATAGGTAAGCAGCTTGGTGTGAAGAAATCAACTGTGGGAGCAATTATTAGAAAATGGAAGACATACAAGACCACTGATAATCTCCCTCGATCTGGGGCTCCACGCAAGATCTCACCCCGTGGGGTCAAAATGATCACAAGAACGGTGAGCAAAAATCCCAGAACCACACGGGGGGACCTAGTCAATGACCTGCAGAGAGCTGGGACCAAAGTAACAAAGGCTACCATCAGTAACACACTACGCCGCCAGGGACTCAAATCCTGCAGTGCCAGGCGTGTCCCCCTGCTTAAGCCAGTAATGTCTGGTCCGCTGAAACCAAAATAGAACTTTTTGGTAAAAACTCAACTAGATTTGTTCGGAGGAGAAAGAATGCTGAGTTGCATCCAAAGAACACCATACCTACTGTGAAACATGGGGGTGGAAACATCTTGCTTTGGGGCTGTTTTTCTGCAAAGGGACCAGGACGACTGATCCGTGTAAAGGAAAGAATGAATGGGGCCATGTATCGTGAGATTTTGAGTGACAACTTCCTTCCATCAGCAAGGGCATTGAAGATGAAACATGGCTTGGTCTTTCAGCATGACAATGATCCCAAACACACCGCCCGGGCAACGAAGGAGCGGCTTCGTAAGAAGCATTTCAAGGTCCTGGAGTGGCCTAGCCAGTCTCCAGATCTCAACCCCATAGAAAATCTTTGGAGGGAGTTGAAAGTCCGTGTTGCCCAGCGACAGCCCCAAAACATCACTGCTCTAGAGGAGATCTGCATGGAGGAATGGGCCAAAAAATACCAGCAACAGTGTGTGAAAACCTTGTGAACACTTACAGAAAACGTTTGACCTCTGTCATTGCCAACAAAGGGTATATAACAAAGTATTGAGATGAACTTTTGTTATTGACAAAATACTTATTTTCCACCATAATTTGCAAATAAATTCTTGAAAAATCAGACAATGTGATTTTCTGGATTTTCTTTCTCATTTTGTCTCTCATAGTTGAGGTATACCTAGGATGAAAATGACAGGCCTCTCTCATCTTTTTAAGTGGGAGAACTTGCACAATTGGTGGCTGACTAAATACTTTTTTTAGCCCCCACTGTATATGGCAGCTGGTGTTGAACAATGATACTCATTATGCTTTAATGGC